CCCCACACCCGCCCACCCCAAACTAAACTAACAAACCCCAACAACAACACACACACAAACATGCAACAAAATGCGCTGACTTTAGGAAAATTAGTTTAATACCACATGTCATGTAATGTAAATATTTTATAGTCATTTTGGAGAGAATCAAGGGCAAAACTGACAGAGATGTTATTGGAGATGAACAGTTCGGCTTCAGGTCTGAAAGTGGCACCAGAGCAGGAGTCTTCTGCATGAACACAATAGCACTGAAAAACATTCAAGTCCAAAAGACTTCTTCGCTTGCTTTATTGATTACTGAAAAGCTTTCGACAGAATCCATCATATTGGGCTGATTGAGTGTGTAGAGAAGATAGGTATTGAAGGAAAAGATATCAGAATCATAGGAAATCTCTACTGGCAGCAGAAGACAACAATTGAAGAGAGCAATGAACTATCAAAATACACTGAAATCCAAGGTTGTGTCCTCTCTTCATATCTTTTTAGCATCTGTGCAGAATTCATTTTTAGAGAATAATTCTGTAGACCTACATGGAGTCATTATTGGGGGCCGTAACATCAATAACCCGAGATACGCAAATGATACCGTCCTGCTTCCAAACACGAGCAAAAGGGGGCTCTCGACGTGGCCTTGAGGTTAAGGTGTTGGCCTTTCATTCAAAGGTCCCGGGTTCGAATCCGGGTAGCGACCGAAACATTTTCTTGTCTAAAATGTTCTCCTTTCACCTTCTTTATTGCTATCTAGCAATGTTCTGTCGTCGGCTTTCGTCTTCTCTTTCTGCATCCACCCCCACCTCCTGTGCCCCCTCCTCTGGGCTACCTACTCTTTCTGCAGCCTTTCTACTGCTACTCCTTGGCTCCCTCTTACTGCTGTCTTTCAGCCACACCCCTGATCTTCTGGTAGGAAAGATTTACACCTAGCCTTCTCAGACAAGGGCGAGAAATCTCAGAGGGCTCGTGTGCAAGTTGCGCACGTTAAAGATCTCTTGGTGGTCTAAAATCGATAAGAATAGGCTTCGGCCGCCACGCAGGCAAAATTCAAAATTTCCTACCAACTGGAAAAGTTTAATGTGTCCCACGCGCTCATATGACTGTATGCAGTTACGAGCGCCGTAAAAACAATTGCATTAAAAAAATCTTTCTAAAATTGTGAAAGTAGTAAATGAGGACAGCAGCAAGGCAGGCCCCAACATGAACCCTCTTGATAACCATTAATAGTCGTTTAACCATGTACTAGAGCCAAAATAAGCTTAATTTCAAGAAAGTACTAAACACTTTGGTGAGTACTCTAGTTCGAAAATAACTTTCTCCGAGACTTCGAAAAACTTTGTGCTTTTGCAAAGTTAACGTTAAACTCTTACCACGGAAAGAGGTCGGCATACAATCACTAACATGTTTGCTATCAACATCAGTACCCCAGCTCTCTTCTTATAAAGTAGCAATGCTTAATACCCATTATTGACCAGGTTGTCTCTCCTGAAAAATCTTTGGGGGCTCCCCGAGCAATATCTCCGTACGCCGTTCTAATTACTTTATTCACTGGTTTCTGCAATTTTCCTTGGTGCAAACATACAAACATATTGGTTATCACTTAATCTACCCTCTTTAGGATTTCCCCCCAGTTATAGCACTTGATAACGGAATGGAATGATTAATTATTTAAGCAGGAAAAACCAAACGTTTCAGTGGTTAATCTTGTAAAACCTGATTGTGTCCCCTGGGAGAATGCTGTCGAAGTAATGAAAACGGATGGGGCTGATGATGAAAAGATGCACTTGCTCTCAGGACGATCTTTCTTTCTTTTTTTATGTTCGCCTCGGTTGTCTGGACACTAGGTTCTCTCCATCAGTAACCACGGCAGTACCCAAAGGTGGGTGGTTGAAGGGTGCCCAGGAGTGGTTTGCTCCGTCTTTCCTATCAAACATTTCCCTTCCTTTTTATGTGTGTTTCTTACTCTCTTGTAACACCTCTAATCCTCGGCATTTGAATGATCTAATTCCGTTGCAAATGCCGTAAAATCTTATTTTAAAAATCTCAGAGTCAACGCTAGCTTGTCAGCTAGTCTGTAAGATCTTGAATATCAACTACCTGGAAAATAATTCAAGTTTTCTAGAAAAACAACAACAACAACAAAAAACAAAGCTTTCAGGCGCCCTACTTCTTTAGCGTCTTTCCAAATTAAATATATAACAGTAGACCCCCCCACCCCCCCAGATCAGTAGCTAAAGGTCGGGTAATAATTATAATCAAAGCGGGTCGCAAGTGTAGGTGGTCGTCTTGCTTCTTACTGTGCATTAATAATGACAAAACGCCATGGGATCGTGCGTTGGTATTTAAAGGTATAGGCGACACTCTATTAGCGACCTTTTTGTCTGTCTATGTCCATTAGCGTCATTTCTATGGTACATTCATCAACCCACGTCAACGAGAAGAAAAATCGAAAATAATAGTTAGTTTTCTAGATCGAGTACTCTCAGTCTCAAGTCTCGGAAATATTTAATTGCATTCGTTTGCTGACATTTTGCTTACTCTCTCACTCCACCTAAGGTTTATTTTTGCTTCCCTTCAAACACCGAATCCCTGGTAACATAATAATATCAGTAGTAAGTTTTGGTGTTTTCTGAAACCGAAAAAAAACCTTTAGTCGCCCTTTATGTTTTTGTGTTTATGCGTTATAGAGAAGCACAATGACACCGTTATGGCCATTTTTGAGCAGTTCGAAAGTAAGACAGATAAACAAGAAATTTTAATATTAGAGGGACAGTACAGAACAGAAGTAGTAGCGCTCTCCAACCACTCACTGCCTTTATTTCTTGAGAGCAAAATATACGGCTGTCGCGTTGATTTCCAGACGTCGTCGTCAGAACATTAAGAAAGTTGAATGACGTTGGACTTCTTCGTTTTATTGATCAGCACGCCATAAGCAACATTCGCAGAAATCTTTGCATTGATGCTCAGATAATGTTTCCACAGCATGTTGACATAGACTATTCAGCAAGGTGACGTGTTGACAGTTTGAGGGACTCTTGGGTAAAACACATTTCATGCTCTTAGACGAATACCGAGAAAGTACAAAAATGACACACACACACACACACACAAACACACACACACACACACACACACACACACACACACACACACACACACACGCACACACACAAGAATTGATTTTGAGCTTATTTTGGTTCGCCATAACTAGAGAAAGCAAAAGGTGGATTTCTAATTTTCTCTCATTTCCCTTTGAGGGTCGACTTGCATTTTGAACTGGCAACTTAGTAAATCAAACGAAACTCCGCTGAAACTGTCTGATCAGAAATCAGTTACATCTCACCCATAGTCTAACAGTCGATCTGATATAGAAAATGCTGTAAAATAAAAGTAAAATAAGATCTACTAACAACATTAAATTGTAAACCTTAACCTTGATTAATTGAACAATTAATAATTTATTAATAGAGGCACCGGCTATCC